TTAACCTGTGAGAAACTAACTGAAGGATTAATGTGATGTATAAAACCTGTATTCAAAGATGGAAATCTGTGCACATTTCATGTGGAAAATTGAAGTACATTTTTTTGCCCCCTGGCTTTATAATGGAAATACTTTACAGGATTTCAGCTTGATAATTTACCTAATCTGTGAACAAGTATTCTAAGACTCCTTACATGAGTGCAAATTGATACAGAAATATAATTTTCAAGTCCTATGTTCACACTGAATTACATAAATAATTAATTAGTTTTGCTGCGGCTAAAGTTTCATTCTTTTTGTAAGGTATCAGCCAATGTTTCTTTTTTCATCCAGAAAAATGTCATCAGATACTGTGTTTCCATAGAGAACTATAAGGCTTTCAGACAGTGCCTTTTTTAACTACTTAGTATCCAGGAAGTACTGGAGAAAAAAAACCCCAAAGTATCCAGTATTTCAGTTCCTTTTAGGTTGTGGTTAACTTCCTTAAGAACGTATTTTGTTGGATCAAGGCAGATGATTGCTGAGCAACATAAGCATAAGTAAAAATGTTTAAAAATTTAAAACTTGCAATTTAAACCTACTGTTTGAAAAGATCAAGTGTGACATATGTGACGGTTTTTCCCTGAAGATGCTGTACAGTTAATATATCCTTTTAAAAGGAGACTGTCACTGCCCTTTGTTGAGAATCATTCCATGACAGGGAATTCAGTTAAATTTCCTGCTCAAAGCAGCGTGGACACGGAATTCAGGTGAAGTTGCTTAGGACAGCCTGCTCCAATGACAAAGCAATCATTCTCATAGTTCATTCAAAGGTCCCATGATCTTTATCTGCCTTCTGATCTGTCTTCTTTTTTGCCTTCTTTTTGCTTTCTGACTTGTTCCAGGTACCCCAAATTGGTGTCACACCTTCTCACACTGATTTCCTGCCTGAACATCATTAACCTGTGCCACCTTCTGCTGCTCTTTCACTTTTGCTGGTCCCTGTGTTCTGGTGAATTACAGTCCCCTCTTGCTGCCTTTTCTGCCAGTGCCTCTGTGTTTGATAAATGTTATAGCTGCAACGTATTGAAAATGAAGGTTTTCTGTTCTGGGCCCAGTCCCTGGTCTCATTTGGGTCAGGATCAATAATTCAGAGAAAACTGTTGTTTCAATAGCCTCAGATATTCTCAGTTATCCATATGCAGTCTTGGAAGGGGTGGGAGCATGCCTACTGCCAGCAGAACTTGGGGAGATTTCATCTGTTAAGGTAAAAAATTAATATGTATGAACTGAGGCTTTTGTCAAATCTCAGGGTATTCCTGTGTGTGGGAAGATTCCATGAAAAATGGTAAATAGACACCTGACAAACAATAAAGGAATGCCTGACACGTGCCAAAGTTAATGATAATTAAAATATTAATTAAAAAAAATTAGCTGACTTTCCCCTCTGTTCCAGAATAGACATCCACTTTTCTCACCTTGTTACCCCTCTTGATGCAGCAGGATTTCTCAGTTGAAGTTGTTGGCAAGTTCCTTTTCATGGGAAAATTTTCAGGGCCAGTTTAGGCAAAATGTTACTTGATCTCATCTGGTCAGATGTAAGAAGTGAAGCATGCCAGTTTTAGATAGGTCTGTATGTCTAGCTCAAAACAGAAGTGCAAATCTGTCCAATTTATTTTTCATGGTGGAAGGCACATTTATTTGTATCTTTCTTTCTTTGTCAGATTTAAAAGACACCTGTATAATAATTTAAGAACAGCACCGTAGTCACAAATGTTCCCTGTCATCCTGCAAAACGAACTGAGGAGGTTGTGGAACTGCATGTGTTTCTCAGTCAGTACTTTTACATAGATGTAGGAGCCCAGATTTACAAAGGGCATATGTCGAATCAGAGAATGATTTCATTTGGAAGGCTCCTGGGAAAGTAATTTACAGTTCAGTCCCCTGCTCAAAGCAGGGATAACATTGAAGTTGGATTCTATAACTGATCTAGGCAATCTGTTCCAGTGATAAACTCCTCTCATTCTGGGTTTTTCCCACCTCATCTCCAATTGGAACTCTTCTTGTAGTTATTTCAGACTCCTGTGTCTTGTCCTTTTGTTCTCTGCATTCTCTGAATGCTGAGTCTGTTGCCAACTGTTCTTTAATTCCACTCCTTTTTAAATAGTGAAAGATGTTACCATGCAGCACTATAGTTCTAAAATGAAGTGCCAAGATCTTAGCAAACAGAATTTGTAAATCTGATAAAGCTTCATAAATCTTTACTAAATAGAAAAAAAAAATCAACCCCCAAGAACAGGATTTATGGAGTTGAGTGTAGTCTTGCAAAGGCAGGAGGAAGAAAAGTGATATGTGAAATCCCAGTTTTTATCCAGATTAATGCAGTTGTGTTCAGCTCTGAAATATGTGTTGTCTTTGTGTTGTGGCCATAAAATCCACTCTTAGATGTTACTCTTCCTGTTTAGAATGCAGGTTTGAGACATAATGTTTCTCAATTATCAGTACACTAGTAATAAACCAGTTACCAGATTAATTAATCTGTTACGTATCACTAGAAATCACAATTCTGTAATGCTTTACTTGGTTGTTAATTCATGTAGTTTCTGAGTTCTATCACATTTTTGCCTATAAATTGCATACAAATATTATTTATTGAATTGCAGTTTTATAACCCTTCACTTTAACCTCCTACCCTACTTCATAACAAATTTGCAATCCTGTCACTATTTTAACTTTTTGCTTCAAGTTGTTTGGATATAGAGCTTGTGGAGCTGCCACTGGGTTTCCTAAGGGCCTTCCCTCTGAGACCCTGACAGCCTTTATTAATGAAGTAGCTCAGCTTCATTATAGTCTGTGGATGCCTGCATTCCTTTCAAAAGATCTGCCCTCTCTTGGTCTTGAACTGCATTTATAAATTTTACTTATTTCTCACATTTCTAGCTTCTCGGGTTGCTGCTCTTCTATATCCCTTTCCCTGCCCACTTCCCTTTCAAATAAACAAGCTACAATTTAAATAGTCTTTCCCATTGCTTCAATTTGCAGATTTGCAAATCTGCAAATTGAAGCAGACATCTATTTGCAGATTTCATATTTCTAAAACCGGCTCCTTGACAATCTTAGTCTTAAATTGTGTAATTGATGTTGTTAGATGCTGGTGGGTGTCGAAGATTCTACACCTTTCAAGATCCCCAGATAACTGCCTTGCAGTTATCTGCTTAATAGCAATTACATATTCTTTATTTTACATATTCTCTAAGGCGTGTCAGTCTACTTTGGCCTTTTTTCCCTCCCCACCTGGTTTTAAGTGTGCTTTATCTCGATTTCACTTTCTGTTAACTCTTTCTTGGTTCATATGCAAGTGACCATACATGATTTTCCTCACTCTGTTTTTTGCACATTAAATATCCTGCTTGCCAGAGGGCCGGGTGGGCCAGCTGGTCCCTGAGGGAAGAGGAGCCAGGTGCTGAACATGACAAGGTGGACAGGGCAAAGGCTCAACAGTGCTGTCTCAAAGCTGGCCCTGAGCAGAGGCAGCCAAACCTCCAGGAGATGGGGAGCTCTTAGCTCCTTTCCAGGGCTGTCTCTCAGGTGTTCCATCAGAAATCATTGGTTTTGGCAGCTTCTGGTAATCTCCCCATTCTTCTGCAGAGACTGTCCAGTCCTCCATCAGAACTTCTTGCTCACAGCCTCAGTTCCTCTCAGATTAGGACCAAATGCTTTTCTGTTCTTTGAAAAGGTGATTAAGCATTAACTCAGGTTTAAATGGTGGACTTTTAAATATATCTGGCATATATATTTGCATCCTTTGAGTTATATATTAATGATCAATTCTGATAATGTTACAATTTGCAAGCCTTTACAAAGTTTTTTTAAATGTGTTTATTTCTGTTTCTTTTAGTATCTCCAGAAGCAATTGGATTCCTGTCTGCAGTCGGGGTGTTCATTATTCTCATGCTGCTACTTTTCCTATATATTAATAAGAAGATGTGTATTGAAAATGTTAGTGGTTTCCCAGATCTCGATTCAGGATACACTACAAGAAAGAATTCACAAGATAAACTTTGTAAGTATCTGACATGCAGTGTACTAAACTTAATTATAAGAATGCACATTTTTACCAGGATGTAGCAACACAACAACATTAGCCTTTCCTGTGACTGCAGTACTTGAAAGGAGCAAATCTTTGTATCTACAAGCCACAGAAATTCAGCAGCTATATAACCAAAGAGTTTGCATTTACTTATGGGGACATGCTTCTCTTGCACTCCGAGAATACTCTTGAGCTTATTTTAAACATTCCATAATTTTGTATAATTAAATCTTTTTAGGTAAATTTGTGAATGGGATTATTGGATTTTCACTCAGCCTGTTAAAATCCTTCACCACACTTTTGGAAAAGGTCTTGCTTTTATTCACCTGGAAAATAATTTTAAAGATGAATTTTAGTGATATCTTATATCTGACTAACACATTATTGAATATTTTTTAATACAACAAGGTCTTTAATGATCATGTGTAATGAAAGAAATTAGATCTTGAAAAAGATATTGAGTGTTGGTAAAACAGCTCTTTCTACTTTTGTGCTGTGAAAATTGAACAGGCTTTGTTAGCTGACTTGAGAGAATCAGGCACCAGAAAACAGAATATGAAATCGAAGAGGCCTTCTTCCCCTCTACCTCTCTTAAAGATGGAGCTAAATTTTTATTTTCAATTTTCTAGGAAGCAAAATAAAAAGAAATTTTCTCTCATATTAACTTTCTTTTTTGCTACAAAACAAGTCTTAATATTCCAAAGTATCTTACCTTATGTAAAAGACAACAAATATTTTGGGGTGAAGAAGTCTCTACGATGTGTGTTGTGTTATGTTAAAAACTTGTTTAATGTGACACTGATGAACATTTAAATGTCTCACAACTTCTTCTTCGCAGGTTAGAATAGGAAAAAAAATCCATCTCACACAGTTGCCTTGTTTTTGAAAATAATGAATTTTATTATGGCTAGTTGATGCTGCAGTTGATGAAAGACTATGGTTTTGCTGGTTAATTGTGGCTTCAAGATATTTATTTAGCTGTTTTCTTATTATTTGCAATAATTATTGAATGAAAAAAGAAAAGCTGCAACTTCTCCTGGTAAATGTATTGATTTTTGAGATAGAAAAGGCAAATAGCTCTGAAATTGAAGCTGGAGAAACAGAGATGATCAGTTTGTGAAACAGAGGACCTGGCAGTATTAAGAGCTGCTGCTGAATAGGCTGGACAAATGGCGTTTTTTAGAAACCTTCAGCAAAATCTGAGCCTTCCCTCTGTGTCTTCCCTGGTGGACACGCTCAGCAGTGCTGTGGATGACCTGGCCAGTGTTGTTGGTGAGGTTGGCTACTCTGTAGCTGACTCAGTGACAGAGCAAGTAACCAGCATGATCCATGGCCTGCGGGCAGAAGATGAGAGCTCCAAAACGCAGAGTGATAAACCTGTGGAAGGCAGAGAGGAGCACACACCCTCATTAACTCATTCTCAGGAAATTAATACGAAAACGAAGAGAGGTGCTGCAGAATACAAAGAGACTCATAATTCTAATTCGTTAGATTTTGTAAAGAAAGGTACAAGTCAAGTTGGAGTATCTGACCATGTCTTGAACAAAAATCAGTGTCACTTAAGAGGCACAGATCATAATAATCCTCTCAGTGATACAGAAGTACCTCAGGATTTGAAGACTGTAGGAGGACCTTTTAAAAGGGAAGTAGTAGGGGGAAATGAGTGTTTTGTAAATGATAAATTCTTGAAGGATAGTAACCTGAAAAGTAAAAAACTTACAGTGGAGCAATCTATTGAGGAGCAAGATAATTGTTTATATGCAGTATCAGATAATTCTAAGAATCGCAAGCATAAAAAAATCAAACCACAGTCACCTGGAGCTGATTTTGAAGATTCTGATAAAGTGCACAGTATGAATGTTCCCCAAGATTTAGAAACAAAGTTTGTTGAAGTACAGAAGGAGAAATTATCAGATTCCAGCTTGAAGAAGATGGACAATGACCATAGTTGCCTTAATGAAATCAAAGAAGAGAAATCTGAAGCCTTCTTTGACAGGAAAAGAAAGCCCATCTCAAAGGATGAAGGCAATGTGTCAACTACAATTGTGAATGAGGGTAAAAGGAAAAACTCAAAGAAATTAGAAAGAGAGCTATGTAATAAGAAGACAGCAGGAAAAGGTGAGGAGTCTGTCAGCAAACTGCATTCTTCAGCCTTTCCTGAAACTTATGATATTTCCTGATTTTTTCTCCTAATTTAAACATTTAATAATAGTGTTTCCTGTCAGTGAAAGTGCCAGGTTTGTTTCAGTGCTTCTTTTTCTAATTATGCTGATATTTCTTGGAAGTTAATTAATTTCCAAAGTATTACTTAAAGGAACTGATTAATAAATGCCTTTTCTATGTTCTAACTTTACTCTTTCTCTATGCAGTTTTTCTTGCCTTCTCTGCCTTGTGTGGCTTCTGCTGAAAACTATGAATTAATTAATACTGGAAGTTAATACTTGTTCTGTGAAAGTTATTTTTATTTTGTTTCTTTAGAAAGCATTGCATAAAATGTGCTATGACAATAAAAGGAATAACTTCTTTTGCATTTACATTACAGTAGATCTTCAGAATATTTCTGGGATATGTAAGATAGTGATTTCAAGACACAATGAGAAACTCAATAAGACATGGCAATTAAGTAATTTTAAGTATAGAAAGAAGTGAATGAGGCTTGTCTTAAAGTTGTAGTCTTAAAAGAAAACTACAAACTGTGTGTTGTTGTTATGGATACTTTGTGTGCCGTCTTCAATATCCAATCTTAGTGTGATAAGGGAATTGCAATTACAGTTTGTAAGGAAAAAGTAAAACCTTGCAATTTTACATACGTTTGCAGGCTGCATAGTAAAATTTTAGAAAGCAACACATGCTTTTCCAGAGGTGCTCATTTTGTAAAGAAATGAATGATTTCCTGATAGAAACCCATTTTTTTCCTTCAGTTGTGTATGTTTTCCTTATCTGAAAATTTCAGTTACCTGCTTTGTTGAGTTTTGGTTTGGTTTTGTTTGTTTGTTGTTTTTTTTTTAGTTTGAATTAGGAGTGTTTTCCATGTTTGTATGATAAACTATGATCTTATCTATTTCTTTATATAATAATAGATTTGTAAAGTATATTCTCTCAAAAATGGCATTTAGGGTCCATAACAAGCAAATTAGTAGCTTTCAATAGGTTAATAATTGCTCATGACCCATGTCAGCCAAATAAAGGAAAGGTTTTGCTAAGAACATAAATTCTCTTAGCCAGGTTTCCAGATAAGGTATAAAAATCGAATGAGAAGTGGCAAGAAAAGGCATTAAACTGTGAGATTTTTTTTTTCTTAAGGTACCGGAAGTTACTTTTTTCTGAGAAACTGAAACTGATCTGCTTTGTAATTAAAAAAAAAAGGATTTGCATGGATAGCTTATGTTTAAACTTTGAGGAGGTTTTTATGTCCTCTGAAGAGGTCTTGCTTCATGACTTCTAATAATAGTATGCATTCTCATTCTTTTATGATAGGAACTGGGGAAAAAATAAAGAACTGCTATCACTGAGAACTTCTTGGTGCTTACAAAAGTCAGTGTATTATTAGAGACAGAACTTTCAACTGTTCTTTCAAACATGTTGCTGCCATGTTTTATACTATTCCATTCTTTATGCAGGCTGATTAACGAACCTGATTTTGTATTTGCGAATACATTTCTTGTAATGTTAAAGGAGGCACCTAATACTGATGTCTGGCACTGTACTTTAGGCCTGGTATGCTCTGCTTTAATTACAGTTGTGGGAATCTGTAGAAGCTTTAATATGGCAGGTTTCAACCCCTGGAGGGCTATATGAAATACAAAATTTTACTCTGTGTTACGGCAAAACACTTTGAGATTCCTTTTTCTGGGTAGCCTCTTACAGTGAAGGTGTTAGCCGGAATAGATCCTGCTTGGTGTGATATTTTCAGTAAATGATCACTGAAATTGAACTTGCTTTATAGCCATCCATAAATGGGAAGTACCGTATCTGCTAGAGTTGAAAGATCCAATTTACTCCTTAGAAGTCTTTTAAGGCACCATATATCCTATAATTAGTAAAATAAGTTGTTGTACATATTATGCGTAGAGCTGGTAGCCCTACGTCCAGATAAGGTTTTCTGACAATTTCCATTTCAAGATCTTATAATGAATTTTATAAATTGTGTGCCAAATTTGGAAGAATTTTGAGGAAATTAGGCATTCTTTCTGTCTGAGATCCTATTGTTTTGGTTTCTTCCTAAATTACAATTTAAAATCTTTAACTGTTTCAAAGAAATAGGTTATGTGAAAAAACATGCTGGACATTTTTGAAAAAAAAAAAAAAAAAGTAGATTTCAGCTCAGCTTTACAAAGATGCTGTGACACCTTTGTGTATTAGAATATGTGCTTGAGATGTGGGAGAACACTTCTCCCATGTCAGAGATGCCCATGGTCTTCTATGAAAAAACATCCAAGTTTGACAAAGTTGTAAATTTTTGGAAAGTTTGCTTTTTGAAAAGACATGGTAAACACTTCTTATACTTTGCTTGTTAAATTCACTGACCATCCCATTTGCACTCATATGCTTCATTGTAGGGATTGAAGAGCAGAGCAGGTCTTACCCTGCCTTTGATACTTGATGGGCTCTGGGAGTTGGAACAGAAGATTTGAGAACAAATATATTCTATGTGAGGACAGAAACTTCCTGAACAAATAGGACCCAATGCACATGGTAGATTGGGATTTAAACTAGGAAGGGTGACAGCTATGGAGAGAACTGATAACTTCATATGAAGGTGCAGAGACTAAAGGTGAAAGACCAAGGTTACATGAGTAGTTGGTTAGGTGCAAGTAAAGACATTGGGATTGAACAGCCAAAGAGAATAGAGGAAATCACCATAAGAAACCAAAAATGGGAGCTTGGAGCAAGAACTTGGAGTATGGGGCTGGGAGACAGGAACTTGGCATAAAACTCTACTTGAATTTAACTTTCCAAAAGATTTCATACCTAAACTTGCAGCAGAGGTTTTTCTGTATGAGTACCAGGGACAAAAAGACCTCTATGGGAAGTGATTCCTAAAAGTAGGAAGGATAGACCTCTGTAATACTAAGAGTCAAACACTTGACTCTAAAAGAGATCTAGATGTGGCATACATTGAGTTAATTTAATTTTAACTGTCTGACTTTTGAATAAGCTGAATCTTTCTTTTAGCAGGAATACCCAGCCAGAGGAGTGAGATTGGCTGGGCATGAAGACAGACACTAAAGGGAGTGGAAATGCAGATCTGGAGCTGAGTGCATAAAAACAGGGAGGGGAGAGCAGTTGAGTGTGGCTGGATAGCATGTTAGACAACATTCCCCCAGATTCAGGAGCTGAGAAACAGCATTATGGGCATCTCAAAGCTCTGCTGGTAATGGAAATGCACTGGCAAATCATATACCATAGTTGCTCTCAGAGCAGAGGTAATGCTGACTTCTGAGCTTACATGAACTCTTAATGCCTATTAGAGTCTGAGATCTACAGAACCTCTGCAAGGCATGTTAAATTTGAACTTTGGAAGAAGGGAGGAGGAAATCTTCCCATTACAGAAATAAAAATACCGCTAATCTTTGATTTGTGGGAGGAAGTCATGCTTGAGATGTAGTTGGAAAACGTTGGCCACAGGAGTAGGCACTACAGAACTGCTATAAAAGAATTAACTAGATAGATTTTTTTCCCATGTAATTTTTGCTGTTGCCAGATGTCTGCAGTAAAAATCTGCATTAATTTCAGTTATTGAACAAGGAGCTGTTTATTGTAAGTTAAATAAAATTGTGCATGCAAACATCTTTCACTAGCATTTTCCCATTTGTTTTTGTGAGTTTAAACACTACTGGCATAACTATCCTAAAGGTGATTTTGTTGTAGGCTTCTTTTTGTAAATCAGTTTCATTTCTATGCTATGCTACATGCTCACAGCAAAAATCAGCTGGGAATGTAGGATCGGGAGCTGCTTGCTTGATACGTAGGGTATCCAAATGTAATATTGCAGGAGTGTTGGATTTACTTTTACTTTACTTCAAGAATGTCTATGTGCCACCTTACATGAATTGATCTGTTTTCTGTTGAATAAGTATTAGTGTGGTTTTTTGGGGCTTAATGATCTTTCAGGTCTTCTAGAAAGTGAGAACAGTTCTCAGCAATTGCGACATCACAATGCTTGTAATTTCAACAAGGTATTTTTAAAATATTACAGAAATTTTAATTGAAATAGCTTAAATATCTTCAATGATAACCTCTTATGGTTATTTTCTTGTATTCTATTTTGAGCTGTAGTCGATTTGCTTTATTTTATTCAAACAGACAATTCTTATATGAGTAAAGACCAGCATGGTTCATCATCTGAGAGTGAAGATGAAGCACTTGGTAAATATCATGAGGCCTTGTCTAGAACCCAGAGTTCCAGGCTGCCAGTGGTGGATGGCAGACAGCAAAAAAACTATATATGGGAAACCAGACAAAAATATAGTCCCCTGTCTGCAGAATATGATGGATACAGTAGTGAAGCCTCAATAGATGAAGGTAAGAGCGATTTAAAAGCCTTCCTTTTATTCCAAATTTCAGAATTGTGTTCTGGATAAGTAAGTCCAAGATGAGAGCAGCTTGACTAGCAAATAGTCAATGTCTGCAAGAAATATCCAGACACCTCTTATATTAGTGCATGCTCAAACAAAAAAAAAAAAAAAAGAAAAGCACACACTTGTATACATTCTTCCAGAGATGCTACAAATTATACAATATCTTGCTACATTAAGTTTCATTTAATTTTTTCATTATTCATTTCATTTTTGGGGCAATTTAAGCTGTTTTGATTTAGGAAGGAAACATGGCAACTTTTGTTGAATTTGTGGTATTATAAATACAAAGAAGACATGTTATTTCTGTATTGATAAGCTGTTCTAACAGCAAAGTAAATGCAGTTGGTTATTAGCTACAGTGCATATGGTCATTGCAGTGTGCATTGCTGGAATGTTCTGTATCTTTTCTTCTCTTGAAATGACACAAGGAAATTACTAGAAAGATTAGATTAATGTATTTTTCCATGGTGCTAAAAGTTGGATTTAAACAGTGGATGTTTTATTACATGCTATATATTTCTTGATTTTAAGTTGGGATGACAGCTTGATGTAGAGGCTGAGAATTCTGCTGTCAATATTTTGTCAATATGCTTTTTGTATTTGAAAATAGTTGTGTGAGAACTGTGTCCATAGCCAGTTTCAAGCATGAAAAGTGAACTTTTCTTGGAGTTAGGTAAAAGTCACATTCTGATACAGGTACTATATTATATTAAGGTAATTTTTGTCTTCCTTTAGTACGGTAAAATGTAAAAGTTTTTTAGTGTTTGATGTTTTTCTAATAAAAAGTGGATATATGTAATTAAAAGGTATTTCAGCTTAAATATTCTATACAGTCCAGAAGGGCTTGAAAAAGTTTACAGTTTCTACAATTTGATATAATTAAATTATGTAAAAGTCTGTTGGCTATTGAAATTTGAAATTAGTATACAGTCATTCATGATTCCGAGCTAAGACCTGAAGGACATGAATGCCATATTTCAAGTAAGTTGCATAGTAAAAGAATTCTCTGTTGATCATCAGGAAATTCTTTTCTTTCTTTTGCTTGTTAAATTGTAGGAAGGCAGGTAGTCTGAGTTCCAGCAAATACTGAAGGAGATGCAGAGGTGAGGTCAGGTGGTAAAAACTGATCCTTGAGCACTGTGATGGAGAAGGAATAGGGATAGTAAAAGTATGTTTGGTTTTGAAATCTACTGAGATCTCTCAACAGTGTTGGTGGAGAGAATATGAAAGGCTTTTTTTGTGGCTTTTGTCCCTGTTGGGAAAGAATGATGATGTATATTAACAGGAGATGGAAAAATGATTAGCAAATAATACCAGATATGAATTATACAAGAATTACACAGGAAGACTTCTTTCAGATATCTAGAATAAGGTATTTCTCTTTCTTCAGACCACTGAGGCTATTGTTGAAATAGCCATAGTTATATGACATTCCTCTTTTTATTTTGTAATTGCTCTGATTTTTTATCCAATCTAGTTCTTCTTCTCAGTGAAAAGTCCTGAGTTCATCTGAGCTTTTTACTTTGGTCCTATAGGAGTTAAGCTTCAAAGGTGTTGTGCTAGCCTTTATAAATTTTTAAAAAAATTTTTATGATCGTGTTCCCTGTAATCCTTTTAATTCATCAGAATTTGTATTTACTGATACAAAATGGAATCTGGAAATCTGTATCAGGATTACAATATAAGACAAAAGAACCTTTTTGGGAAGTCCAAATATTGCATCCAGAAAGTTACAGTTCTTACCTCCTCCTCCTCATTTTTTACTATTCTTCTATTGCTAAATATATCTGTCACCAGGTGCTATTCCTTTTCAATGCTCTCTCCATTCTGAAAACAGGCTGGATATAAATGCCATTTTAAAATTTATTATAATGAAAGAACATTCAGTGTTTGGAAGCAAAAAACTTCTAAAACAAAAGCTATCACAACATTCTTACTTTAAAAACTTAGATTTTTATAACCACATACTTCTACTTGCACAAAAACTTTAATATTGTCAGTATTTTGCTTTTGCTGCTACTTATGAGAGCATTCTCTTCCCACATTTTACAAGGAATGGAGAATAAACAGTGTTATTTTTTTGACAGCCTGCAATCATTCTACACCGTATGTTTGGCAAAATGCTTGCAAATGAAAGTGAGGAGTTTGTCTCATTTTATTAATCCATTATTCTCAACAAAATTGTGTTCAATCCTACTAAAAAAAAGTTTTGGACATTATAGCAGATTAACTACTTAACATTTTTCACTTCTCAGTGACCTGAAGGTGGCATGCTGGAATAATTAGTGTTAGTACTTTTTATGTTCTTCCTAAATTACTTCAAAGAATCTTTGCACAATGATAAAAATGTTTTAGAGTAGAGGAAGAGACAGTGTATGCCTTATGTGATGATCATTACAGAGGGAAAGCTGCCCAACATAGAACTTTGATGAAGAGAGGTGAAAACTTCATGAAGAAGGCCTGCAATCAGAAATAAAGGAGAGATTATTACTACCAAGCTGTTCATTTGTGTTCAGAGAACAGTTAACTTAACAGAAGACGTTAAAAATCTGATTCCAAGAGGGAAGCATCAGCATTCCAGATGTTTCAGTGTGATTTTTAAAAATCACACTGAAAAAGCTTTACCGTTCTTTAAACTTGCAAAAAAATCTGTAGAAGACTTGATGCCATAGGAATGCTGATTTTTTTAAAAATACTTGGCTTTTATGGGTATTGAATTATTTTTATAAGAAGTGTAAAGACAGATGATCAAACCTTTCTTGACTCTTCTGTGGGCCAAGCAGTGTGTTTCTATGTACTTTGGTTAATATGAGAAAAAATTGTCAGTGCATTTGACTTTGTGTGCTTCTTTTTTCTCATATGTGCTTTATCATTTCTACTTCTAAGTCTTTAACATTTTGGCTGTGCTTCCATTGTAAGGCACTGATCAGTCCATATGTTGAGCATATAACACTTGATAGTGTTAAAGTGAAGTGATGAGAGGACAGAATTAATTTTTGTCTCACCTCTGCTTTCCTCCTGCTCGTTGCCAGTAAAGCAGCCCCTGATCATTAAGAATAAGGACAAGGGGGAGTGGTTTTAAGGAGATCTGGAAGATCTGCTCAGAGAGAGCAGATTTAGATTAGATATTAAGAAACAATTTCTTTTCTGTGAGGGTAGCAAGGCACTGGAACAGATTGCACAGAGAAGCTGTGGATGCTGCATCTCTAGCAGTGTTCCAGGCCAGGTTGGATGGATTTCTGAGCAACCTGGACTAGTGGAAAATGTCCCTGTCCATGGCAGAGAGGTTGGAATGAGGTAGTCTGTAAGGCCCCTTCCAAGACAAACCATTCCATGATTCCATGACTCTATGAATTCCATCATAGATAGAGTAGGATGAGTAATGAAAATGATACTTTGTTTTCAGGAAATTTTGGATTTCTCTGCTGAATTTTCTCTTCAGCAGCTAATCTCTCTCACATGTTCCATTTCACAGTAGTGAGCTGTGTGTTTTTAAAGGAGTCAATAAACAGTTTTACCGATAACTGTTTACTCTGAACTTGTCTTTTTAAATTCGTTTATTGAGATGTATGTGTACTTGACTCTGCATACACAAAATTTAACAAAGAGACAAGAACATAACCTTGTCTTTATTAATACACCCTGTATGTTTTGCTTGTCATGTTAAAAACGTGTTTAATGTTAATATGTTGCATCATTCAGACCACCAAAATGTCTGAATGTATTATTTTAAGGTTTGCTTGTTATAAATTCTGTAATTAGTTTATTACAGACTATTATGTCCTTTTTCTGGCTGCATGCCTCTAAAAGCATCATATTCTGAAGCCTGAAAAATTGTGTTGTATGTTTTCATAGCATTCTTTTCTCCTCTAGATGGCCATATTAATCTTTCTTTTCAGCACATTTGTATCGAACTCACATGGCATTTTGTATCATGTTTTTAATACTGAAATGAAGAAAGATATATGCTCTGCAGGCTTTGTTGTGTATTTTCATGATGGAATGTTCTAGTAGCACTTTCGGTAATTCTCTGCAATTCAGGGGTTTAAATTTTCAATCACAAATACCTGCTTTTGGCCAGTGTCTGACATAATTTATATATTTGTATTGCACATTCGATGCATTTAGATTTTTACATGTTTTACATATAGATACACAAAATGAAAAATAAATTACTACTGTGCTTGGATGCAAGTATTGCTATAGACTGTAAGCCATTGTAAATATAAAACTTTTGCAGTGAACCCCTCATGGACAGGCTTAATTCCAGAGTATCACTAAAGGAAAACCTAATTCAATACAAAATCAAGTTGATGAGAAATGTCAACGTTAAAAGCAAAATGGTACAGATGTTCACATCTGAAATTTTCAGCTCTTGCACAAAAGACCAAAAGTTTTTAATCTAAGAAAAGAGAAACCTGTGTGACTACAGGATGTGTGGCTCAATCTGTGTGCTTAGGTCCAAAATTCTAGGGTCAGCTTGAAATTTGAAATCTTAATTTTGCCAATAATGTTATTTTTCTATTTTCTAATATTATCCAGTAAAGTATGGGTACTTGCTGGAGTGACCTCTTTTTCCTGTTTTCCTGACAAAACTTCCTTTTAAGTTTTTATAATGTGTGTCCTACTTCTTATATTATTTCTTACCATTTCAGTGTTGAATATGTAGTGTTGTCTTTATGTGCTCCAACTATTTGTAATATTTTGGGAGAGGGGATTAATATAGACTTATTAACATGTAATATTTGCACATTTATTTCAGAAAATAAAGAATAAAAAATAAGGGGGGGGAGCAAGGAAAAACAATGCCATATGATATTTCTGCTAACAGTTTATGAGTTGAAATAGGAAACTAAGGGATAAGGAAGTGTAAACCATAAGATATTTCTGCTAACAAACAGTTTATGAGTTGAAATAGGAAACTAAGGGATAAGGAAGTGTAAA